AAGAGTAAAAGTGAGAAAACTTGTGGATTGAGATAAGAACAGTTTAATAATTCAATTGAAATAAAATAAAATAGTAGTAGCAATAATAATAATAATAATAATAGAATATACAAAGGAAGTGATGCACAATGCAATTGCTCACCACCCGCCGACTGATGCCCAGCCAGTCCCCAAGCAGCAGCGCCCCCAGCCAGCTTTCCCCAGTTTATGTATTGAGCATGATGTCCCATGGTATGGAATGTCCCTTTGGCCAGTTTGGCTGTGCCCCCTCCCAGCTTCTTGTGCACCTCCAGCCTTCTCAGTCGGTAGAGCATGGGAAGCTGAAAAGTCCTTGACTAGTGTAAGCACTGCTCAGCAACAGCTAAAACATTGGTGTGTTATCAACATTATTCTCCTCCTAAATCCAAAACACAGCACTGTACCAGCTACTAGGAAGAAAATTAACTCCTTCTCAGCCAAAACCAGGACACTCCTGCACAAAGTAGAGTCAGTCATGAGGTTACTCAAGTTATGCACAACTTTATTCATTCCCTACTCAATGTGGGGGCTTAACACCAAAATTCACAGTGTTTGTTCAAACCTGAATAACTTTGGGAACAGTGTTTAGAAGCCATTTTGTTTTAGGAAGATCTGAGGAAGTCAGTGTCTTCAAGTAGCGAACTAGTGATGACTAGTAATAGGAGCTTAGTCAGTCACTGCTGGAATAGCATCTCTGACCAGTATAATTTCAGCATGTTCTAACAGCATGCTTGCTGTCACACTTGAGTTTAATGATATCGTTAGAGCCCACGGAATTCTAGAACCAGTCACTGTTTTGCCCAAAAATCTTCATGAAAGGGTCCTATCCCACTATATTAATAGTGAGATTATCTTTTCATTGTCAACAGTTGTCTCTCCTCCCACTGGCAGACAACTTCTCTAACTCACAATGACATTACACATCACATAATATCTACAATTACAACCTGATGGTGTGACAGGGAAAAACTGCACAGTTCACTTAGTTTAAACCAAATGACAATTGAACTGGTTTATTGATTTATTAATAGCACATAATTAACTGGCAATTGGTGAACTATATATTCAGGTTCAGTATCAGCAATACAACAGATAAGACACTGTTAATAGACAAAATGCTAATAAACACCTAACAAATTTCTAAACAACCTTTCTTTGCTAATCCCCCAAAGTCCTAACCGTGCACACAAAGTTGTGCACCCACAACCCACATGTATAACCCATGGTTATACACACAATCCCCCTCTCACACATACCTTCTGTAGGAGATGCAGGTGCTTAATGTGTACCTGTGCTGCACCTTACAACCTGCTAATGCAAACACTGGGGAGAAAGCACCACACAAGGCCACATGCACACAACCAGTTATGAGTCCCTGCATGTTGCACCCTGCACTGTCACTGCCCGAGCTGAATGCAGGCTGCTGGCAGAGTCAGACAGGGAAGATGCTCTGCCTGGCCCAGACAGAGGTTTTGATTCCAGTGGGTGAACATACAACAGCGTCAAAGCAAACTCCTCTGGTTTTGACTGCTTGCTCTGTTCTCACTGTTCTCCCTACTGTTACAAAGTTTCATTTGTCCCTTATACTTTTTTCCAAATTGGCACCAGCCTTGTTTCAAAACTCACTCTGTAACTCCCTGGTTACTGTTTAATCTGGCCAATGGTTATCAACCCCTTTAATATGATCAGCTGTGGCATATGCACTCTCGGACAGTTTTGAATGCTTGAACTCACATTCCTATCTTAACAGCCATTGTTGTTCAGGCTATTTTACCAAGCATGGGCCATGTGAGCACCCTTGCAAACAGAAAAACAGTATTAGGAATTCTTTGAATATTCCTTCAGCTTCTTCTAATGCAAATTCGATAACAGCGTGTGTTCAGACAGGGTTTTGCAGCAATGACAGGAGACATACCATGTCCAATTCCAAAAGTATTTTGTACCACGCTTCTGATTACTCTTGTTTAAATGCCATCTAATTCTCTTGCCTTGGTGCTCTGTACTCAAAAGCAAAGTGAATATTACTTGAAAAGGTGTTCTTTGCAAAAAAAGATGCTCTCCTATATAAAAGCTGCTGTCAGTATCTCTAGTTTGAAACTAAATGCTCCTACTAATGCAGCCAAGTGGAGATTTACTGAACGGCAATTCAGAGGTTATCACCATTTCCCACTAGCTCTTTCTCCCCTG